TATATCCCTGATCAAATTCTCCACTTAGGTTTGAGGTGAGAAAATCAAATGGATCTCCACATGGTTAAAAGAACTGATATCTTTCATAGGTATTTTCAGTAATAGGTATGCCAGTCTCACCTGCATACCAATTTCATCTTATTCTGTATTTTAAAGTCAGTTTTTATATGAAATACAGCTGTAGCAGAGCAGTAACTGACCATCACTGTTCTCCTGAAATCTACCTACCTTTAAAAATCCCATGGCATCTCTTTATAGGCATTGATATTTTGGGAAATGTTTCCTACTAAGGCTATACATTGCCTTCTTTTAACCGGGGTTCCACCTTCTCCACTATACATGCCCTAGGACTTGTGCACCTCGGGTGAAAGATTGAGTGATGCAAGACAAGCCATCATCCCTGACATACTCTTGTTACAAGCTCAATTGACAAAAAGCCGAAAAATTCAAAAAATAGAACATCCGTGTTTTTACTGCAAAGAATATTTCTTTTTGTCAAGAGAGTTAATTTGTACACAAATAGCTATTTCTGAATACAATGCAATGTTGCTGCCATGCAAAATGACCATTGGTTTCCCATGACAATTGTTGTTCAACTAATTATATGAGTTAGACAAATATATTTACACATATTGTATTACAACATCCAAGGTACAGTTGATTGCAGTAATGATACCAACTGGAAATTCTTTTCGAGGCTTTTTATACTAATTAAACAAACCAACAAAGTAAGGCCACCCACAAGTTATTCCTTGTTAGTAGTTTGATTTTTTTTTTAAAATAATATACACAGGTGTATAAAATGTAAATTCAAAATGAACTTCAGTCCCTTCCACAATGATGATTGTTATTTTCTATAAAATGAAGTGCATACTAAGAATTTGAAAGAGGGGGTAGGAATCCACTTGGGATAATATCATTGAAATGCTCTCTGCCTGTTCTAGAAAAAGAATCCATTTGGTTTAATGTAAATACACATGCATGCACACACACACACACACACACACACACACACACACATACACACACAATCCCTGCTCTGAAAAAAATCAAAGGCAAAACCTAGGCTTATCCTTTTATCCCTTGGGGGGTTGAAAGTTTACATATTTAATCCTAGTTTGTTGTCTAGGTGTTTGACAGACAGTTTATTGGCAAGGAGTACAGTAATGTTTATTCACATTATTGCCCTGGCTTCAGTTCCTTTTAAGCCCAGCTTAAATATAAAGAAACGAATGTACAAGCCTAAAAAAATTAAAAAGAAAAAAAAACAAATAAAACCCTCCAGTATGATTTGAAAGTCTTAGAACTATTGACCTTTTAATATCATTATGAAAGTATCTACATTAGCTAAAATAAGAAGAAAAAAGCTTTCACCAAAGGATATTTTCTTCACTTTTTGAAACTTGAAAAAGTAATTGGCAGCAGAGCATAGAAACTATTTTGAGTTTTCATTTAATTTGTAACTCAGTAATGTCTGAGTCAATGAAGATCTACATCTGAAAAATGGACACTACCCACTCAGAAAAGGAAAGCTAATGCTGAATTTCTTCATGTAAATAAAGAAGGCTAGATTGATTTCCTCACTTGCTCCTGAACCTACCATCACACAATATACACAAGGACAGAGGGAAATCAGACATTTGGCCTAATGTTAGCATAATTCTTAAAGACAAAAACAAAAAAAAAAAACAAACCCAACAACAACAACAACCACCACAGATTTCCAAAAATTCAAGGCTAAAGAAAACAGGTTTGAAATAGATCAAGGAGATCTGAATTTGCCTCCACAGGATATATTCAGTCCCTGAATGAAATGTCCAGAAATTATGAAACACTTCCTACTCAGATCTGGACCCAGGATATTCATTAAAATCCATGTACTTGAATGGACAGTTCTCTAAAGAATGGTTTTTTTAAAATAAAGTTTTTAAAAAGATCATCTTACTGGTCCATAAATACAATCTCTTCTAAGGAATTTGCAAATATCACAGGTCAGTTTAATTTCATGTCTTTGTATTTCCACTATCTAGTACAAATGCAAGAGAGAGAGAGAGAGAGAGAGAGAGAGAGAGAGAGAGAGAGAGAGAGAGAGAGAGAGAGAGAGAGATCACTTTTTAAATACTTGGCACTTGGTAAATATTGGGAATACAAATGACAGCAAGCCAGTCAGTCCCAATTCTCAAGGAGCTTACATTCTCAAGGAATTACAATACATGAAGGAGGGGGGAAGCATCCATGTAATATAAGTTAGGAGAAAGAGGAGGAGTCCACAGAGAGGGATGTCAGGCATGAGTGATGTGAAACACAGCCAGGGTCATTCCTAAAATCATGGTTCCCAAAGAGGAATCATCAATGAGGAGAAAAGAGCCCCAGCAATTTTGGACTAACTCTCTCCTTCAAGAGTTAGTTCATATTCAGGGATTTTAAACTCATTTTTTTATTCACCAAAAGATAATTTGGAAAGCAAAAATACCATGAGGAAAATCATATAACATATTCTGAAGTCAACTTGTTGGTTGATAGATTGATCATGTCTTTTGAGTTATTCATGTCAATGCTTCAATTTGTTAATACAAATAATTGAAGGGACAACAGAAAAAGGAAACCCTTTTATTCATTTCTTGACCTGGGGTCTGTGAACCTGTTTTGTTTTGTTTTTTTTAAATTTTGATAACTGCATTTTAATATAATTGTTTTCTTTTGTAATTGCATAGATGTCATGTTATGTCATGTCTTGTCATGTTATGCAACACTGTGAGAAAAAGTCCATAGGACCCACCAGACTGTAAATGTACATGACACACAAAAAAGTTTAATTCCCCTTATTTTGGCTTTAAAATTTTTCAAATTAAATTTTATTCTTTCAATGGACAAAAGTCTATTTTCTCTTCCTCCCTCCTCCCTCCCTCTTTTGGGAAAAAAAAAAAAAAACCTTTTTAACAAATATATGTAGTCAAGCAAAACAAATTCCCACTTTGGCCAAATCCAAAAAAAATATGTCTGCAACTTGTTTCCATCACTTCTCTGTCAGCAGTTGCATTATTATATTTCATCATGCGTCCTCTGGAATCACAGTTGGTCATTACATGGATCAGAGTTCTTAAGTCTTTTGAAGTTGTTTGCCATTATAATGTTGTTACGGCATAAAATGTTTTCCTGATTTTGCTCACTTTACTCTGCATCAATTCATACATATCTTCTAGATTTCTCTGAAACTATTCCTTCATCATTTAAACTTTTCTTTTTCAGTGACATACCTATAAATACATGTTACACAAATTAGTATTGTGACCTCAGTTTCACATTATACTTGCTAGTCAGTCTCATGCATTATAAAGAATAATTTACCATGAGGGCAGGGACTATCTCATTTTCATATTCTATCCATAATGCCATAGCATAAAATTGAAATGAATTGTTTCAGACTAAAATGGGAGCTTCCTTCCCTAATTTCCTTTGCTTACCAGTGATTCTGTTTCAGGAAAAACTGAGTGGTCAACAATTCTGTATTTGTTCAAAAACTAGTGAAAATATAATACTTACATTTATGTAGTATCTAAGTGTCAGGCACTGTGTGAGGGAATGGAACAGTAAAGACAAAAATGAAAGAATTCCTAACACCAAAGAGATTTCACATTATACTGGGAGAATATACATGTATACAAATATGTAAGTAAAAGCTATATAAAAATACACAAAGTGATTTATTTGCTATTGACAAAAGGGAAGAATTCATTAAGATCATGAATTCAATTAACATCATTAAGATCATGAATTCAAATAAAACTTCTTGTAGAAGTGACACTTGAGCTGAGTGTAGCTTAGGATCCCAAGGGGCAAAGATGGGGGAGAGACCCTATACTAAGGCATAGACGTAGGAGATGGAACTTTATTTATGAAAATAGCAAGTAGAGCAGTTTTCTAGAAAGGAACGGTTTTGGTGCTATACAACCTGGAAGATACTTAGATTTCTAGGCATTTGAAGGGTGGGAGTCACATGCTACGCAAAATGAAAAGGAAAGAAGAAGGAAGGATAAGAGAGGGATCATGGTTTTAAGGCTGGGAGGGATTTCAAAGACCATCTAGTACAGCAGCTCTCATTTTATAGGTCAGGAAACAATGTCCCAGGGAAGTAACAGGACTACCCCAATGTACATGCATAGTATTAATGAGGTCAGAGTTGGGAGAGGGGTTCAGGTGTGAAAGAATTCACTTAGACCTTCTCTGTAGCCATTAGTGATGAGTTCAGGGTGGACTCCAAGAATGTTGGGGGTGCTACCTAAAATGATGAGGGATAGACATGTGAGTCCTAGTGTCCTAAAAGAATACACTTAGACAATCTCCAAGTTAAAGAAAGGCATTTATTGGGGTGACGCACCCAAGCAGGCCTGCTCCCCATGAGGCAGAGCCCCAATAGACTCTACTCCACATGGCAGGCAGAGCATAGGCCACAGGCCCTGATCCCCTAAGGGAGCAGAAATGGCAAAGGCAGTCACCTAGGTCAAAGGTACGGTTTAAATACAATTCTGTGGAATATGGGGAAGGGGATAAGAGAATGGGACGAGCAAGCATGGCTCCAAAATGCCTGGGATATCAGGTAGTCAGGAGGTGATAAGCAAAGAGAACAGGAAAGGGGAGGGGAAGAGTTGTTCTGGAATTGAGGGTGCTTTGTGAAAGCACTCAGGTAAGTCCACAGTTGGGGCTTCAATGCAGAGTCTTCTTTGATTACTTTTCTGGCTGGTCACATTCTGCATCTTATCTCCTATCTCACATCCTGGTTGCTCCATCTTCCTCAAGTGCTGTTTTCTACCTCATCATTATGTGAGGCAGAATTTTTCCCTGGGTCCTTTCACTCTAGATTCAGTATTCTTTCCATTGGAGCATACTGTCTCCCCAAGGGATAAATAAAAAAAAGAATTGGAGGGTGAGCACATAGAAGAGGAGGCATGGATGGACACCTCCAAATCTGCCATCAGGAAATCTGCCACAAGGTGCAATGGAAAGATCATTATATTTGGATTCAGAGGACCTATGTTTAAATCATCTTTCTGCCACTTATTAGCTGTGTGACATTGGCCACCTCATCTTTTTAGGCCTCAGTTTCCTCATCTGTAAAATGAGGGGGTTATACTAGATGACCTCTTGGTCCTTTCCAGTTCTTAATCATAGAACCTATGTAGTATTAGAGGAGACAAGGTGGTTGGGAAGAAGTCCTGAAAAGAAAGAAACATGAAAGATATTTTGGACCCTGCTCCTGGAGCTTCCAACTCTCCTGCTGCTCTGCCTGCTCTCTCAAATAAAGGGAGGCCCTTCTGAAAAGCCCTGGGGATGTTTGAAATGGAAGTATGGGTCTTAAAGGGCCAACAGCAGCTTCCTTCAGCAGGTCTCAATTCTCCTGGCATCTCTAGCATCCCTGGCATCCCTGGCTGCTGCTGCTGCTGCTGCTTTCCTTTCTTATGAGAGGAAAGCAAGCAGGTGAATCTGGAGTGATGTGTTCTCATTAGTTGGGCCTGTAGGTGTGTGTTTCTTTGCTGCACAAGTGCTGAGGTTTAACACTAAGATGAGAGAAGTAGCTGATTCCAGGGGACTATTGCATTTGCCTATTAAAGATTTCCGAGTGTACCTTACACGCCCAGGCCCTGAACAACTGTCATTTTGATGCACTGGGGAAGATTGTCTGTTAAGAGTGGTGCACTAAACCCCCAGACAATCTCCATAGACAATAGAGGCAAGCAGTTTGTACAATCTACTCTTCTGCAAAGAACCCCTGAGTCCTTCTGGGCAAAGTAACCCCATGTCAGGAGGTAAAGAAATAATATATCAGTTGTGGCTTTGTACAATTTTCAGGTAGACCAAACAATTGTTTAAAGTACATGCCAGAAGGAACTCTGTCAAATATAGATTCTTGAAAGCCTGTAGGGCAACACACATGAATTGCAAAGATATAACATATTTACTCCTGTGGGTTGTTACAGTTACGATATTAGTCTATGTCTTCTGTTAAATCATGTATAGAGCTGTTTTATGGGACCACTGTTCCAAGGACTGGTTTAAGTTAGGGCCCGGTTTGGAGAGGGGGAAATGGATGGTAGGCAGTTTTATGAGAATGTGAATCAAATCCAAACTTTGGGATTCAATGGAATGGAATTATTTACGAAAATGAATTAGCTTTGGCTCTTTGATCCCGATTTAGTTCACATGAGCAGCTTAAGTTTGCCAACAATAAAAAAGAGAGGTGAAATAGATTTCAGTTTTTAGTGGACAGTTTCCTGCAATTTGACATAGACAGTTACAAACCAAAGTATCCTCAAGGTGACCCCCTTTGGTCAGTTTGAGGGGGATGGTAGAAGTTTAGTACATGATTATCCACCTTATCTAAATAACTTTGTAAGGAAAACACACATTTCAGAAGCTGCTTTCTGTATGATAGTTCTTAGGCATGTTTGTTTAGTTCTGGCTGTGCTGAGAAACAGTTAAGAAGTTAAAAAAAAATTAAATGCATATCACTTGCCAGGTTCACTGTGAACATTTATTTTCTTTCTCAATGTCAAAAATGTAAATACTGAAAGACTGCTGGTAGAAAGAAAAATCCCCGTGGTGTATACAGTTCAACTGATCAATGATATGTAATCTGATTTTAGTCAATTATACCATGTGGTATGGATGCCCTCCAACCACATTTTGATGACAGTCCGTATTTTAATTTTCTGTGGTACTTAATGGTAGCTGGCTGTCATTATAGATGTACTATTTTGTCAATACTGAGTCAAGAAACAATTAAGCTCCATGAAAACACTCTGACTGTAATCTGTTCCACTGTATTAGACAAGGAGACAAACAAACATTTCTCTCTCTCTCTCTCTCTCTCTCTCTCTCTCTCTCTCACACACACACACACACACACACACACACACACACACACACAAATTAGACAGAGAAAAAGGTAGATAAGGGAAAATGAAAACAGTTTACTCACTTTACTTACCTCAACTCTTAATGGAATGTGAGAAAAGATGATATGACTATGGCAATGAGAGAAAAGGAGATATTTCAATCAATTAGGATACTTGGATAGTGCGAATATATCCTCAATTTCACTAGTTTTGAATCCGTCTTGGACAGCAGCAGCTTATTTCCTACATAGGCCAGAAAGTTTCCCCAAAACAACCTCCTTACTCTCCCTCCCAGTTGTTTCATTTTATCTACTGTGATAATGGTGATGCTGGCTGACACATGCTCAAGGGTTATGGTGGAGTTAGAATGAATGATTCTTTGCAAAAGAATCTGAAGATCTTTAGATGAAAGGGAGGAAACTATCAGTGCCAAGACAGGTAGGAACACTGGACATTTTATTTTGGGAAATGTGTTCACAAATGGAAAAAATTGCATATCCCTGAAATATCTCTCAGTATTATAAGCATTTTATAGCTCCTCTCAATCAACATATCAAACAATATTGCTGCCAACTCTCCTGCAACTATCAAAGGGGAAAAGCTAGGAGAAATAGATTCCAGAAGAATCATCCCTTCATATTAGCCTCTGACATCCCCCTTGACCCTACATACATACCATGAGCATGTCTTGCTAGATTAGTGTTCCTCTCCTTTCAGTTGCCCCATGCTTTGTACAGTGCAGGTGATTTTAAGCAGTGAAATAAACATTCCTGTCTGTAGCCATGAGAAAGGAAGGAGAAGCAAAGGGCATGGGCATCAACTGTATAGAGCCTGTATACTAATAATCATGAGCTAGCTTGGCACTGTATAATCTTGTAAGACTCTACCTGGTGTTTTACCTATGAAAGGATATCATTTCCCCTAATAAGGAAATTTGAAAGCTAAGGTGTGAATGATATTGATTGTCCAGCCTACTTAATTGGCATTGTGGTTACTTTTAAAAACAGCAAAACCGAGGCAGCTAGTTGGAACAGTGGATAGAGCACCAGTCCTGAAATCAGGAGGACCTGAGTTCAAGTCCAGCCTCAGACCAAACACTTGACACTTACTAGCTGTGTGACTCTGGGCAAGTCACTTAACCCCAATTGCCGCCCCCAAAAGAAATTAAAAAAACCCAGCAAAACCTTAGCAATAAGGATGAGTTGATTATTTAAAAGAGTGATGCAGTAGTGCAATAATGTAAAGGACAGCAGGATTTGAAGACAACAGAATCCTGATCAATGAATGCAATGAACAATCTTGCCTCCAGAGGACTAACAGTGAAAAATTCCGGCTTTCCTTCACTTCCTAAGTGGTGAACTGTAGGTTTAGAGTGAGGCCTATGTTGTCAGACATCAACAAGGGGCTGGTTTGGCTTACTACCTATATTTCTCTATAACAAGGGAGGGTTAGGGCAAGGGGATATCTCATAGAGAAAGGACAACTACATATACATATACATATATATATATTTAAAGAATCAGTGAAACATGGCTAATACAGAAATGTGTCTTGCATGACTTCATGTGTAGAATGGCTATCATAATATGTGCCTCCCCCAATGGGTGGGGGAGGGGCTGGAGGGAGGGAGAGAATTTAGAACATAAAAAAGTTAAATTTTTTTAAAGAATCAGTGAAACAATTTTTTAAGATAGGTAGTGATCAAATGAGAAATATAGCTTCTAGTACCAAACTGGTATTATGTTACTGATCAAATTAACATCATATGCATTAAGCTTTTTATTACAAATTGTTTTTTCTTTTGACTTCTTAAAGGTGGCCAACCAGGTTGTTCAAGCTCTTCTCACTCAAAAGGTAAGGCCCTTTCTAGCTGTGTGCATTTGAATGTGCCTTATATTAGTGACTTGCAATTCAGTTTGTCAAACAGGCCATTTTGATGGATAGATATAATATTTTCCAATCGATTCACTCAGATTACTCCAGTGATTGTTTCAGATGGCATATGAAGTTCCATTCGTGAACCTGCAGAGTTGGAAGGTTTAACATCTTGGTAAAGTGGCAGAAAGTTTTGTGGAAATTAAAGATTTACATCTACTCAGATCAAAAGAAAGTTCATCATTATCATTGTCTAACTTATGTTAAATAAAGTGGTAGTCTCCAGTTCCTGCCAAAAGAATGTATGCTTCCCAGAAATCAAGGAAGTTTCATTATTATTTTGCTCATTGATAATTTCAACAGAAGCCTCAAATTGAGCTTTAAAGAACTGTTTTTTTCGTCCCTGCCATCCTTCCTCTTGTCCTGCCCTGAACATTTTGAGAGCTATTAGCTTTAGAACAATTTAAGATCATGATTACTGAACCTTGCTAGGGAAGTATGAGTGGCCATGCCCAAGTTAGAGCCCATTTGGAAATGTATCCTTAACATTTCCTGTCTCTTTGAAATAAAATTCCAGGAGCTTCAGTTTTGTTTTGTTTTTTCTTTTTTTTTTTATTTTGTCTATAACATCTTTCTGAAATAGAATTCCTCTGAGAGAAAAAGAATGTGGCCCTCCATATGTCATGAATGGTATGGAAAAGAGTGTGGGTGGGTAATAATATATTCAATCATACCCTTTTGATCTACATTTTAAAAATGTATATTGTTATAGTTTGACTGAACAAGTCAGTGGCTGTTTCTCAATTACAGATACTTGGATAGATTATATTTATATTTTATAACATAAAGCCACATGTGATGACATGTTTCTTAGAATTTCTCAAATAGTACTTTTGTCAAAATTTTGCTTCTACAACTAATCGAAAAGTTTTATTTCAATAGTACAAATAAATTTGAGAGTACTTAGGAGAGTAACTTCTTTGAGATGATCTGTTATCGCCACTGTTTTCTCCCTCCTACTCAAAACTATCTGCGCCTTTTAATTTGCAACCCAATTTGGGATTCTATGCTTAACTGTAAGAAAACTTCTCATTCCTGATGCTTTTAATGTCACCCCAGGACAGAGATAGGTAGGCAGTCTAGTACAATAAAAAGGAAAGGGGGGCACCCTTCAGGTCAGCCACAAAAAAGGAGCTACACAAATCCAAGTATTAACTAGTAAACAGGCAAGTCTACTCCTATACAATTAAGCAGGAAAACATGCTGCTGTGAGATAACATACCTCAGGGATATTGTGAAGCATGAAGAGAAGCTGAGCACCTTCAGCAGAATAATATTCTGTGGAACCATTGCCTTCTGGATTTCAACTGAGACTGTAAAATTGTCAATAAAAAAGGTCTAAAATTTCTTTTTAATTACGTGCATAATAAAATGGACCCCAAACATATCTGAATGAAACAAGATCCATAGAGGGCCTTCTGTGGCATAAACCAAAAGAGAAAAATAATTTGAATAATTTATCCAAGTTGCAAAAATCTTTGAGGTGAAATTCTAGTTTTGATTGTAGTTTTAGAGCAAATGTTATGACATGTACGTAGATTCACTAATGACTAACTTTTCTCTGTACCTCCTTCACCCAATAAAATACATCTCATGAATCTAGCTCACTAAGTATTTTATAGAAAAAAAATCTTTTTTTTTCCAATAAAGATTTGGAAAAAATGAAATTTTCCAGAAACCTTTTAGTTTTTCTTTGATTTTGAAAATCATTCATTCAATATACAGACATCATAAGCTTGATTCTCTTCACCATCCTGGCTGTGATCTTTTGAGTAGTTGTTTTCCTCTTAACAATATTCCTGAAGCAATGGGGCTTTTCCTGAAGTTCAGAAGTATATTTGAATTCCATACAATATAAGCCAACTTAAAAATGGTATCTTTAAATCAGGATATATAATACCCATTCCATATCAGTTAGACTTCTTTCTAGTCGATATGTTCTTCATACTACAGAATTTAAAATTGGATGACTATGGTAATCAACACAGGGACATCAGGTATTGTAGAAAGGGAAGACAATGGGAAAACAAAGAGAAGGAGACTGAGAAGAAGGTTAGAGGGGGAAAGTGTATATCACCATCCTTCCTACCTTTTTTTTTTTTTGCAATAACTTTATGGAAATCAGTCCTGTTAGAAAGAAGGCAAGACTGAATCACATTCCTATGTTAAGGGCATTAATATAAGTATTAAGTACATAGATAATGCTCACATTAGTCTGATTGATATAATTGTGTTTGTTCAAATGTTTGGGTATAAAATTCATGTTCAAATTCATACCCTGACCCAGATTTTTTTTTTATTTACTTACTTATATATTCTACCTCATTCCACTAGGTGATTTAAAAATGTTAATAATGAATAGATAATAATATAGCAACCTGTAGGTAACATCTTTTTAAACAACAACAACAAAAATTACAACAACCAGAACAGGACTCTGACCCCTGGTACCTCTCAATATAACGTAATATCTTAAAATATTAGGCCAGCTTTCGCTAATCCTCCTGATAATTTGATATCAGATCACTTGGCTAGCAATCCACCATCTTGAATTTTATTCACTTCAGCTTGAAGCATTAGTGTTTAATTGTCAATGTTTCAAGTCATGTTTTCCAGAATCATGTAGACATTATAAGTAGCAGCAAGTACAATAGTATCTTCAGTCTCCATCACGCAGGTAGATGTTTTGGTATTACATTTTGTGTGCTCTTTGGGGAAAATATGGCTTTTGGTCTTATTAGATATAGTGTTAATTACACTAGTGGATTATATGCATAGTTCATAGGAAATAGTTTTCATTCCTATGGGTAGTTGATGTTTTCCTACCTTCAGATCTTGCTGTGAAGGTTGTCTTGGCTCTGACGGTCATGCAGTGGAAAGAACATAAGGTTTTGGATGTCAGAGGACCTAAGCACAAATCCTGGCTATTCCACTTACTACCTATTTGACTTGGGGAAGTTGCTTAACCTCTCTGGGCCTCAGTTCCCTATTTTATACTGAAGGAGTTAGACTCAATCATGTCAATCATTGTCACTTCACAAGGGGTGGCCTCCTTTTTACAAAAGTGACTGTTGTCATATCATATGATCATATATTAAAAGATGGAAGGGACTTTTGAAGTTATCATATCTAGTACCCTCTCTTTCCAATTGAGGAAACTGAAACCCAGAGAACTTAAGTAACTTGCCCAGTGTCACCAAGGTAGTAAGTGACAGACCTAAAATTTGAGTCTATATCGTATCTCTCTTCATATCCAGCACTCTTCATTGCACAGAATTCTCAGAATATAGTTTTATAGAAAGAATTCTTGCCCTGAGTCTCCTGCTGTCCTGATTGGTGGTTGCCTTATTTACCCACTTCATCCTTGAATCCACTCATATTTCAGTTAACTATCTCCTCACAAACAGCCATGCTTCCTGGACCAGAAACCTATTCCCCATATTCTTCTTCCCTCTCTACTTGCCTATTCTGGAATCATAATCAAATCAATTCTGTCATTGCTCCTAGAAATGATATCGCAATCTACTCTGCTCTATTCAACAGCTATAACTTTCTATACCAAAACATTATTGGCTAGTCACTACTCTTCTTTATGTATTGTCTCCCCCTCTTGGAAGGTAAACCCCCTGAAGACAGGGTCTGTCTTTGGTTTTATATTTATATCTTCCCTGCTAAACACAGGGCTCAGCAATTAATAAGCCTTAATACATGATTTTCCATTCATTCATTATGATAGAGATTATACTCATACTTTTGCCTGTGAAAAAAATCATCACCACACCATTCCAGACAAATAAGAATAAAACCTGGCAATAAAGCTTACAAAAAATAATGTTGCATACAATCTGTCACTCAATGTCAGTTAAGTTTTCCTTATTACATACTCAAATCACTCCTGCTGCAGCTTACATCACTGTTCTCTTATTCTAACTTAAAAGAAACAGAGAAGAATTGGTCACCATTCTCTTCAAAGCAAATATAGTAGCATCCAAAGAAAAAAAATGCTGGTATGTCCAGTCTGTTACTCTTTATTCTCTAGTTATAATCCATTCTGATTAGAAGTATTAATAATTGCTAACATTTATATAGTACTTTAAGTTTACAAAGCACTTTACCTACGTTATTCATTTGATCCTCATAGCAATCATGTGAGGTAAGAAGAGGGACTGGACCTATGATTTCATAGGGATAAGGAACTCTTTTTCATTTTTTTATTTTTAATATATGGAATAAAACAAGCATTTCTATAACATAATACTATAAAAAAGATGATTGCACATGAAACTGCAAATCTACTATGCACAACTTTCCATTCCTTTCAAATATACAACAAATTATCATGGGAATTTCTTTTTTCTTTTTTTCCCCTCCCCCCAAAAAAATAAATTACCATTTTTTTTTACTGAATTAGAAAATAAAATAAAAATTCATTTGAAAAAACAAAAAGGCAAGAATATCAAGGAAATAATGAAAAAATGTAAAGGAAGGAGGGCTAGCAGTACCAGATCTTAGACTATAAGGCAGTAATCATCAGAACTATCTGGGATAAGGAACTCTTGGAAGAGGGGATCCTCTCTCTCAGTGCAGATCAGTACCTTCTCTGCAACTCATGGTGCTCATAGAGAATTAACTGAGAGATTAAGTATTTTGTCCAAGGTCACACAAATAGTAAGGTAGGTGCTATTATCCCCATTTTACAGAAAAGAATAATAATAGCACTTGCCTTACTGTCTGGTTGATCTTGGACAAAGCATTTCCTCTTTTAATCAATTCTCTAAGATCACCATAGGTTAATTTCATTAACCCAGAAGTAAAGGGCTTTGCCCTACATCACACAACTTGTGTCTGAGGCAGGATTCAGTATCTCTTCCACCCAGACCTTGCTGATTATTAAGACTAATACCCTTTCCACTATTCCACACTACCTACCATCAACCATAGCACAGATGAAAAGAATGAACAAAAAAACAAACAGAAAACAAAAACAAAAAACAAAAAAGACCTGGGACAAGGAAACAATACTTTTATTCCTATAAAAGCTTTTTTTTTTTTAATGGCTCTCACTTGCTTACCAGTTATACAAAGTGCAGTGGAAGAATTCTAGAACCTTTCTTTCCCCTACTATACAACTTATTGAATGGATATGCTCATAAGCTAATGGTCAGGGTTCCCAGTGTCGATATTTTTTTCCCAATTAATGCACTTCTACCATAGTCTAAATAATAGTAATGGTCATTTAAATTCTGACACTTATAGAGAACTATCTTCTAAAGCACATTGATTTTTGTTTCTATTTGAGAAACATACTAAAGTTGCTCTTCATGGTTTTGCTGCTGAAATCATTGATACTAATATTTGCAATTCACCTCCCCTTGCTAAAATTGGCCAATTAACATATTTGTATTGGTTTCTTCACCTGAAAATGAAAATTATCATATTTTTCTCTTCTTGCAGGAACTATTCATGTTTACTTAACTCACAGTCAATTATTATTAATTACTTAATTAGGGTAATGAAAACAATTAGCATGCTGGAGCACAGAGTGTTATATACCTACTAAAAACAATCAATCTAAATAAGTCATGCAGGGCTTATAACCAGGCAGTGGTTGATTTTTGAAGTCAAGCAGATGCAGGATTTTAATTGGTTCCCTAATTGTCCTCACCAAATTGTCTTGGGCCCACAGGGAGGGTTTTTGGTTTTCCTTTCCTCCTGATCATCTGCATGTTTGTCCCACTTTGGGTCTACCAGCTATGAATTTCAAATCTGCCTTTGTTAGAGTCAATAAGCTGGAATATATCCTGTGCATACTCTTTCCTCATTTAGCTAAATGATGAGTTAGCTGTACAATGCATCAGGATTTGTTCCTGTTTCTTTGCTCCTTTAAATGAAATGCATTGTGAGTTGAATGATGTTGAAAGTTGCTGAAGCAGAGAGTAAATCTCTATGCTCCTACGAAGGTGGCTGGAGCGCCCACCCAGTAGACTCATCCACAGAACACCTGCAACCTGTTCTAAGGGCCCTCCCCCTCTACTTAGACCCCTTTTCTTCTAAAGTCTCTAATTCTTTTGCTGAGATTAGCATACTTTCAAGGGTGTCAGGACAAAGAACTATACTACCTGACTTTAAATAATACTAAGTTGAGCAATCAATCTCTTTATATCACGGCATTCGGGTCTTGAAAAATGGGCACTGCAGCTCTAATTATAGCAGCACTCACGAGAACTCATCATCATTCTCATCATCATCATTCACATCATCTTCATCCAGGAATACATACACACACACACACACACACATATGAATATCTATTTATATGTATCTATATCTATATCTATATAGATATAGTACCTATTATGTATAAAGAAGTGTAACTAGAAGGCCAGCTTGGAGTAAAGAGACGTAGATTTGAAGTCCTTCGTCTGACATAGATAGCCATAGGCAAGTCATTTAATGCCTCTGTATCCCAGGGAACTTTCCCAGGCTATAAGCTCTTGCCAGTGGTATGCTGGTAAATATTTAACATCTGACTTTACTGGAGGGAGAGGGGGTTATGTGGGAGCAGTACTCACAATAAACTTTTTAGGTTAATGTGCATTACAAACATTTTGTCCAACAACAACAAAATAAATCAAGCCTTGATGTGTAGCATTTGCTGACTTCCAAGATATAAATGCCACCTGGAAAACTGATGAATCAGCTCTATCTAACTGGTTCAGGCTGACTCTAGGAAAGCCCTGACTGCAGCTCACCTACAGCTGATCTGCATTAGATGAAGGGATTTCCACACCAGGCCTTATCTATGAATGAAATGAAAGGTTTGTCGGCCCCATTACACCCTGTCCCTCCTCCCAAAATTGTAAGGCACTCTGTTTTGCAATAAAAACAGAAATGGAAACAAAACATTTAGAAGTTTACAATCTAATTGGGAAGATATTACAAATGTATAATAACTACATAAGAAAACAAATTTGCATATGCTGAGTTAACAAATAAGCAGAATAGTCAGTATTACAGGAATTCTAAGGTGATATGGTCACTAAGTGGTTAGGGAAGTCTACATGGAGAATATTTTATTTGAACTTGGATTTGAAGGAAAGGAAGAATTTAGCCAAAGGAAGAGAGAAAGTCAATCAATCAATCAATATTTATTAAACCTACTATGTGTCAAGCACTGTGTTAAACCCATGCAGTCTCTGCTCTCAAGGGGCCTATATGGCAGAAATTAACATGCAGACAACTATGTGCAGTCAAGCCTTATACAGGATAAAACTGAAATAATCAACAGAGAGAAGGCACTAGAATTAAGGAAGATCAAGAAAGGCTTCCTGTAGAAGGTAGGATTTTTAGCTGGGACTTGAAAGAAACCAGGAGGTGGAGATGAAGAGGGAGAGCATTGCAGGTATGGGGGATAGCCATTGAAAATGCCTGGTATCAGGAGATGAAATGTCTTGTTCAAGGCACAGCAAAATGGCCAGTGTAACTGTATCAGAGTACAGAGAGGGGGCGAGGGAAAGGAGAAAATAAGGTATAAGAAGACTGCAAGAGAGGGCAGGTAATGCAGGGCTTTAAAAGCCAAACAGAGGATTTTATTTTTGATCCTAAAGATGATAGGGAGCCACTAGCATTTATTAAATCAGGAAAATTAGATGAATCAAGGCATAGAAGATATATATATATATATTTATATATTTATATATATCATGTCCATCACTTAGCACAGTGTCTGACACATAGTAAGCATTTAGTAAATGTTTATTGATTGATTGATTTATGTTTGGAGAACAGTTGTCAGGATCATGGGAGCATAGACTTATAGCTTCAAGCAACCTCAGAAGCCATTAGTCTAACCCTGTCCTTTCAGAGGTGGGAAAACTGAGGCCCACAGAGGTTAACTGACAAACACAAGATCACATAGGTAGTAGCTGAGATTTGAATCCAGATCATTTAACTTTACCTGAATGGAAAGCCAAAAAGTTGAAAATAAGGTTAGAGGCATAGGTAATAATTGTGATCACTCATACTTTTATGGCACTTTTATAATCTCCATAACTATAAGATGTAGGTAGTTCAAATACTACTATTCCCCCTTTTCAAATGGGGAAACTGAAGCTTAGAGTAGTTAAGTGATTTTCTCATAGTTCACAAAGCCAGAATGGGATTGGATTGAAGAGGACCTTGCATGCCAGATTATAGAGTTTAGCCATTACCCTGGAATCTATCTTAGATGCGGTCAAAGGAGGTCTGATCCCTAAAATGGGAGGAAAATAATCTCACCATAAGGAAAACTTATTTAAAAGTATTCTGAAGGAAGGATTCCAATGACAATCCATCTCCTAAAAATGTAAGAGTTAAAGTTATAGTCAGTCAATAAGCATTTATTAAGTTCCTGCTATGTGCCAGCAAATTTGGGGATGGCTCCTCAGGACCCAACTAGTCCAGTCATTTTATATAAAAGAAAATATGACCAGGGAGATTTTGTAGCCTAGCCAAAGTCACATGGATATTCAATGGAAGAGGAAGGATTTGAACCTTGGCCCTCTAATCCTCAATTCATCACTCTTTCCATTGTACCACAGTGCATCTTTAAGTCTCTGAATTTCTTTGAACTCCCCAAAATAGATACACTGCCAATAGGGGCAGAAATGTGATTATCATATCTCCCCATCAGGTCTGGGGCCAGAAAACATGTGAGGATACGTTAATAGCTTCATTCCAAGCATGGACAAGTGACAAGTGTCCTTATTTAAAAACCATGACTGTAGTTCTCCTCCTCCCACCAAATGCATCACTGACTCTAATAGCTAAAGTGCTGTAAGTTATCCTGCTGAGTGTCTACAAATGAAAAAGGGAAGCTCCATCAAAAGCAATAGTTTCTTTAGTTCATCAAATTTCTATTCACTGAAAAAATATTATTGTCCTTGTGACTTCTGTTTTATTATTGTTTCTATGAAGACAGTGAAGAGGCAAAATATATAGGTAGAAACATAAATTGACTTGATATCACTAAGATTTATAGTCCTCAAAAATAGTATACACATCAATCTATTTCTGATTTGAAGTTTTTCTTCTTTTTAAAATCAGCATTCCCCACACATAATAATCCTATCAGACAGTGACTTGTAGTGGAAAACCTCATATCTGATTTCTTTCTGGGGGCTTTGAACAATAAAACCATAATTCTTTACCTAATATGTCCTGAAACATTATACAAAATAGCACAAAACATATTTGAGTTTCTTTGACAGCCTTTTCCCCCTTCCTTCAATGCACGCTGCAGGACCTGAGGGAGGAGTGTGTAAAGTTGAAAACAAGAGTATTTGATTTGGAACAACAGAATCGGACATTAAGTGTGCTATTTCAACAGAGAGTCAAACCAGCTTCAGATCTACTCCTTCAGGTATGTACCTACATGGGGAACGATGTTTGCAAATGAAACTTTATTTCTGAAAGGATGCTAATAGCAGGGACTCATAAATGCCTGAGAAGAATATCTCTAGTGTCATGGATTGTATTGAATTTGAAAGAGGTCTCCACCAGATTCTGGCTTCTATGCTGCATACAGACTTTTTAAAATGCCAGCAGAATTAGAAAAGGGATGCATGCTAAGACATGGCCACCAGAAAGTGTCTTCCAGTGTACTAAATGAAATGGTGAAAGGATCCCAAGAGTTATTGAATAATTTGCAGACCAATATTTATACTTTTCCATTTGGTGATAAACAGTGAATAGTTTTATATGAAATGGAAATAGATTTCTTTAATGTAGTCAGAATCTTTGCAGTAAAAAATGCAATAGTTGGTTGCTCCATTGCATATGCAATAATAAGGTATAGAAGTTACTTTCTTTTTTCCTTTTTCATGAGGTCAGGCTGGCCAAATCCTTACAACCAATGTCATCTGAAGGAAAGGGTCTCTAAAAATCAAGTATACTTTTTATGCTCTTGCCAATGATGGGGCTCTGTGGAGTTGGTCCCAGAAAAGTCTCTTTAATAAATATACCAATGTAACCTCTACTTACCCTGGTCATTATCTTCATTCAATGCCATTTTCTGTCAATAGAGTGTACATTACTGTCTATCTTTTGCATATGTGGTAAAGAATGAGCAAGGGATGATCGTGGTGTACCAATCTTTCCAAGTTTATGTGGATATATTGACATTATTACCTGTTAGACAAAGCAAAACATACACAATAAAAGGGATTCAGGATGCTTCAGTTTTTTTTTAAATTTGCATGAGCTCTGCCATTGTGACATGCATGGTATAATAATAATAGTACTCATAGAGTGCTTTAAAGTTGGCAAACACTTTGTATACAGTATTTATTTGAGGCTCACAATAACTCTAAGACATAAATATGGCAGGTGTTACTGTCCTTATTTTACAAATGAGGAAAATGATGCTCAGTAATGTTTTCTTGTCTCCAAGTCCAACATTCTATCCACTATCCCACAGGTAGAGTGTTCTATTTATAATGAAAAGACCTGGGCTCTATCAGTTACTCTGTGTGTGTGTGTGTGTGTGTGTATGTGTGTATGTGTGTGTGTGTAAGAGAGAGAGAGAGAGGCAGAAACAAAGACCTTTGTCACCTTATATATTTAGGCATCAATTTCTTCATCTGTAAAGTGAGGGCACAGTACTCTAACCACCTTTCTTAGCTACAAGTTTATGATCCTATGGCATACTAAAACTTTTCTAAAGTTTCATTACTGCCTTTTTATAATCTCTTTCCCCATATACTTTCCCTCCTTCCCCTTAACCAAACCCTCCTTTGTAACAAAGAAAGTTAAGTAAAACCAACCAATAACAGTCTGTGTGCAACAGCATATGTAACATACCATGCCCATACCCTCCCCTACCCTTCTACTGAGAAATATGGTTGATATGTCTCCTGAGATCTATGTTGGCCATTTCATTTAATCTAAAATTTATTGCCTTTTACTGTTATTTTCATTTACACTATTGTAGTACTTATTGTGAATATGAAAGAGATTAACTACAAAAACCACATTACAAACCTTAAAGTACCATGTGGATGTTAGCTAGCTATTATATTATTTGAACTCCAATCTCTTCATTCTGAACCATTTCATATGAATCTTCCAATATTTCTCTGAATGCCCCATATCCATTATTTCTTGTGGTGCAAGAATATTCCATTGCATTCACATACAACACTTTGTTCAGTCATTCACAAATTGCTGGGCACCCAGAGACATGTTCTTACTCATGATATCTGTCCCCTCCCCACCATCCATAGGAAGTTGTTTCATCTGCATTATTACTAATTTCCCATGTAGCATGTTTTCTTTTTCAATAGAAATATGCAGCTATAACATTAAACACAGCTGAGCAGCTAAAACTCAACTAAAACTCACCAAAAATAAAAAAAAGGAAACAATACGCAGTTTCTTTTGGGCACTCTCTTCAATACCTTTTTGAAGTAGTGTTCTTCCATTCAAAATGGTGCTTCCCTCATTGTATCTCAATATATTCAGGGACTCTGTTCACCAGGTTCACTTTCTAATATGTTTATGCAATAATTGACTCTTAATTTAAGCTGCTTTCAAGCTTTTCTTTATTCTCCTCACCCTCCCCCCCCCCATTCTTCAGACTTAGTTTTCTCTATTCATTCTATTTCCCAACTAGGAAACTTTAGTCTCTGTAATATTTCACTATATGCATATATATGTGTATATATATATATAATATATATATATGTATATATATGTGTGTGTATGTACATATGTGTGTGTGTGTTTCTTCTGGTTTTTTGTTGTTTTCATTGCACATATGAATATCTTTATAAATTCTTCAGTTAATTGAAAGAGGAGTCATACCTTGAATTATTTTGAAGCATTTAAAGTTCTGCATAAAACACTAGAAAGGATACATCCTTTCTAGTTATAAATATACATCAGCAGAGGAGTCAGACAAAGGTTACCTTTTTCTTTTTCCAAATGTTTTAATCCCAATATTATACTATTTGCTCAACCAAGCTACCGTCACTCTTTGCTCATGGTTGTGCCATGAATGAGCAGCCAGGAAGTGTGTCAGGATTCCAGCAAGGCCACCACATCCATAACCACAGCTCTTTAGTCTGAGCTGAGTTCCAAGGTCATTCCAAAACCTATGATCTCCCAGATGGCAGTGAAATGTACTCTTAATATGTCACTGAAATTTACAATAAAAATATTTGGGGCCCTCTGGGAAATAAGGGGAAGATGCAGTTCGTTTCAGAGAAAGAAAGACATTTGATAAAGCTTAACATCAAAATGTAATTTGGCCCCCCAAATTAAAATAAAATAGCTCTGTGAATTGCAAAATGGATCTCATCTCTTAAATTAATTTTCTTTCTGCTTTATTTGTTAGAGCCTAATTCATAATTTATGACTCAAAAATAATATGAAAAAAACATTCTAACTCAATTCTTTTTCCTAGGTCAGGCCTACAATAAATGTTTGTCATAGCGGATCTCATATCCATAAAAAGTTGCATTTACTTTGCTTTCTCATAATCAATATTCAAGGCTATAATTATTTCTAACAGCTGTTGAGGATACATGAATTCTTATGTAGTGCTTATTTCAACATGAGATTTTTCTGGATATATATATATATGTATATGTACACACACATGTATACACACATATGCATTTGTATATATATACATTTGCATGTATATATAGATTTGTAGCCACTGATAATGAATCATGGTGACTTTTTTTAGGTAGACACATGTTTATGTTTATTCCTTTTCCTTGGAATTTGCAAATATCTTGCACCAGTTTTCAAATGTTAAGAAGTCATACATATTTTCCAACATAAACTTAGTTATGTCATTGCAATTTTTTTTAAAGATTGTCTTCATTTTCTTTCCCAAATTTGTAAGACTTGTTTTGCCCAGGACTCTGAAGTCATATTGCTAGTTATAAAGGTATTATGGTTAAGTGTAGCTACACCGTGTACCATATCACAAAGCACAAATCTTCCTACTTTCAAGCAGCTTACATTTCTTAATTGGGCCAAAGTAGTGCAGACCAACTTAAAGGAAGGTATTGGTTTACCAATGTGGGGTTCTAATTGTCTTAAAACAATTTCAGAGCATGGTGGTTTTGTTTTGGTACACATCTGAAGAAAAATTGGAAAGGTAAGTGCATGCCATTTAGCTCTGGCTAAAATTAAAATTACAAGTGCTGCAGATACAAAGAGAGGGAAAAATTATCTCTTTCCTTAAGAAACTCAAGTTCTAATGGGAAGACTATGAAAAATAGTTATGTAAATACAAGACATGTATTCAAACTTCAATCAAGTTAACGTTTATTAAATACCTACTCTGTGCCAGGTATTGAGCTAGGTGATAGGGATACAAAGGTAAAAATAAAACAGTTTCTATCCTCAAGAAATTTATGTTTATGTTAAATGATGATAAATTCATATACAAGATATACAAAACAAATTCAAGCTTGCCTTATGTTTAATAGTCACTGTTGAATGAATGAATTTCCCTAGGTCAGAGAATGAGTCTGTATAAACATTCAATGGGAAATCCTCTGTGATGTTTCCTTGGAGAGGAGGAGACCATCTTACTGACATTTCTGTTTGGGGAGTTGCTGGATGTTGAGGAAGGGCATATTCCAATGTTCCCTGGATTGTAAAGACATTGTCAGTGTATGATAAAATCATAGCGTCATAGATATAGAGCTAGAAGGGTCCTGAGAAACCATCTAGTCCAGCCTTTTGACTCTACAAGTTAGTCAGTTAGTCAACTTGCATTTATTACTATGTACCAGTCACTGCAGTATATACCAGAGATACAAAGAAAGGGAAAAAATAGTCCCTATTATCAAGGAGCTTATAGTTTAATGGGGGAGATAATATATAAATAAGTAGGTATAGACAAGATGCATAGTCTATCAAAAAGCATTTGTTAAATGTTTATATGTGCCAAGTATTGTGCTAAGTACTGGGGATACAAAGAAGAGGAAAAATTGTCTCTGCCCTATTGGAGGTCAACTTATGATGGGGAGACTGAAAAAATAACTATATAGATATAAGATCTATACAGAGTAGATGGAAATTTGGAGGTGGGGGTTGATGTGGTCAGACTTCTGCTTTTATACTTTAGGAAAACCATTTTGACACCTGACTGCAGGATATATTGAAATGGGGAGAAATATGAGGTCAAGACCAATTAGAATTGGTCAGCTTTCACTCCTACTACTGTAATAGCATGAGTGAAAGGTGATAAGGGCCTGAACCAGGGAGGTGGCTCTGTCAGAGGAGAAATGGGGCCATAAAAGAGAGATGCTTTGGAGGAAGAAAGGACAGACTTGGTTATGAATTAGATGTGTGCAGTGAATGAGAATGAAGAATCAAAAATAATATCAAACTTGTAAA